GAACTTAATTTGTTCTGGGGGTCCGTTCTTAACCTGAAACTGTTCTTAACCTGAGGTACCACTTTAGCTAATGGGACCTCCCGCTGCCGCCACACGATTTCTGTTCTCATCCTGAAGCAAAGTTCTTAACCCGAGGTACTATTTCTGGGAGAGCAGAGTCTGTAACCTGAAGCGTCTGTAACCTGAAGTGTCTATAACCCCAAGTACCACTGTATTCAGGCTCCCAAGCCCTTCTGCTTCCTTCCCCCCTTCTCCCGGCACAGATCAGCAACCACAAGAGGGCGTTCTGTCCTTTCTTCTCTCTCTCTCTCTTTCACCAGGAGCTTTCTGGCTGCAGGAGGACAGAGCCAGCGGTGGCTGCAGGAGAAGCCTCAGTCGAAGGATGCAGATGAGAAACCCAAAATATGGTGGATGCAAGCCGGCAGTTCTTGCTTGCTGAGGAACCCTTACCGTAAGGGCCTTCACGCTGCTTGCAAAATGCAACTTCCTGCATCAAGATAGAATTTGCAAGCAATATATAGCAATGTTCTCATGTATATATATATTTTTATGCACGTATGCCTTGAGGACTTTAAGCCAGTAAATTTGTGTTTTCCGATTTATTTTTAAACAGTCGGTTTGTGTTTCACAAAAGTGGAATAGATTTCTCTTTGTATGTGTACCTAACTGACTCTCTGGACCTGTTTGTTGAAGTCTATGTGTGCCTCCAGATTTGCCACTATCTTGCAGAATATTAATAATAATAATAATAATAATTAATTCAAGTGCATGCCAGAGATGTAGGCTTGTGCAATGAAAGTGGATTAAAGCGCTCTATTGTCCTAGTACAAGAAATCCTCTTTTTCATTTAAAAAATAAATAGATTTTATCCGGTTGAGGAAGTACACTAGGGAAAAGTGTGGGATTAATGGGGAAACGTATACAAACAAATTGGGGCGAATTGTAGGATGGATTCTCAACCATTAGGGTCATCTAATCAGAGCCCTTGCAATCACATGTGCTGCGTGTGATTTCTCTAAAAGCTTTGGTGTCCTCGTAGGCTTAGAAGTCCTTGCTGGCCTTGTCCTTGGAAGGGCCATATTCAAATTCCAAAGCTGCGCAGGTTTTCTTTTTAAAAATCCATAGGATCAAGTTGAATATGGCAGCCTTAAATATATGGGTGTGGGGTGCCTGCTATCACATTGGAGACATCCCTGAGCCTACAGGAAGCAGGGACAAAACCAATCTGGTCAGCCTTTATCCAAGCTGGTAGCTTCTAGTCCATGGGTAGGCAAACTAAGGCCCAGGGCCTGGATCCGGCCCAATCGCCTTCTCAATCCGGCCCGTGGATGGTCCGAGAATCAGCGTGTTTTTACATGAGTAGAATGTGTGCTTTTATTTAAAATGCATCTCTGGGTTTATCTATGTGGCATAGAAATTAGTTCTTTCCCCCCCCCCTCAAAATATAGTCCGGCCCCCCACAAGCTCTGAGGGACAGTGGATCGGCCCCCTGCTGGAAAAGTTTGCTGACCCCTGTTCAGTGGCATAGCGTGGGGGGTGCAGGGGGGGCCGGCCGCACCGGGCGCAACATCTGGGGTTAGGGCAAATCCACAGGTTAGGGGGCGCAAATCCACGGGTTAGGGGGCGCAAATCCATGGGTTAGGGGGCGCAAATTATTTGCCTTGCCCCGGGTGCTGACAACCCACGCTACGCCACTGGCCCTGTTCTAGGCATTTGGGACTACACCTCCCAGCAGTGCCAGCTTCACAGAAATCTCCTGTTCTGAACAGGGACCTGCACCAAATCCAGACCAGGCACCACACCCAACGCAAGGCAGGACACGATCCTTGTTAATGTATACACCCAATATTTTGTTTTAAGTCTCTATCCTAACTTTCAACAAAGGTCCGTATAGTTAAAGCCATGGCTTTCCCAGTAGTGATGCATGGAAATGAGAGCTGGACCATAAAGAAGGCTGATCGCTGAAGAATGGATGCTTTTGAATTATGGTGCTGGAGGAGACTCTTGAGAGTCCCATGGACTGCAAGAAGATCAAACCGATCCATTCTTAAGGAAATCAGCCCTGAGTGCTCACTGGAAGGACAGACCCTGAAGCTGAGGCTCCAATACTTTGGCCACCTCATGAGAAGAGAAGACTCCCTGGAAAAGACCCTGATGTTGGGAAAGATGGAGGGCACAAGGAGAAGGGGATGACAGAGGACGAGATGGTTGGACAGTGTTCTCGAAGCTACCAGCATGAGTTTGACCAAACTGCGGGAGGCAGTGGAAGACAGGAGTGCCTGGCGTGCTCTGGTCCAGGGGTCACGAAGAGGCAGACACGACTAAACGACTAAACAACAACAACAAATCCTAACTTTCTGCCAAGCTTAGCCCACCTTCCAGAGTTGTTGGTTTTTTTGGAAAACGGGACGAACCAGAGGCTGCCGTCCATGTTTAAATCTCAGCACGATATAGGAAAGAAAAACAAATCCGTTAAGCATGCGTGTGGTTTAAGAGTGGATTTCGCAAGCTCACTGAGTAAACATATTTCACCGTGTGGCGGAGGGTGGGGAGGAGAAAGGACGACTGACGTTCTCAGGCTGGGAAGAACGAATCCTTTATCCTATTGTGGGATTATATTGCCCCATAAAAATGATCTCTTTCTAGCGCTGCAGGAAGTGTTTGAAGATGTTATGAAACCACCAAGGAAGGGGAGAATTTGGGGGCGGGCAGTCCAAGAGGACAGACAGATTTACCTGCTTCAGGGCCAATGCCCAATATCCTGTTGGCATAGAAGTTTTTTCTTATCAAGTCCGCTTTCAAGCGAAACAAAAGAAGAATTCATGGGGCTTGCCTTGACTGCCACTGGGGTGAATTTGCCTTGGCTGGTTCCCAGAACAGATAAATCAGGTACCCTAAGCGAGTTCACTAGATGCTTTGGATCCCTTCCAGTCGGGATTCAGGCCTCATCATGGGACTGAAACTGCCTTGGTCGCACTGGTTGATGATCTCCGAGTGGATTAGGGACAAAGGTGAGAGCTGTTTCCTAGTTCTGCTGGATCTCTCAGCGGCTTTTGACACCATCGACCATAACATCCTTCTGGACCGTCTTGAGGGGCTGGGAGCTGGGGCACTGTCATACAGTGGTTCCACTCCTTCCTCTTGGGCCGTGTTCAGAAAGTGGGGGGGGGGATGAGTGTTCAGACCCCTGGGCTCTCACTTGTGGGGTGCCTCAGGGTTCTGTCCTCTCCCCCATGCTTTTCAACATTTACATGCAGCCACTGGGAGAGATCATCAGGAGGTTTGGACTGGGTGTTCATCAGTATGCGGATGATACCCAGCTCTACCTCTCTTTTAAGTCAGAACCAGTGAAGGCGGTGAAGGTCCTGTGTGAGTGCCTGGAGGCGGTTGGAGGATGGATGGCGGCTAACAGATTGAGGTTGAATCCTGACAAGACAGAAGTACTGTTTTGGGGGGAGAGGAGGTGGGCAGGTGTGGGGGACTCCCTGGTCCTGAATGGGGTAACTGTGACCTTGAAGGACCAGGTCATTCTGGATTCACAGCTATCCATGGAGGTGCAGGTCAATTATGCGTCCAGGGCAGCTGTTTCTCACCTCCACCTGGTTCGCATGCTGAGACCCTCCCTGCCCTCAGACTGTCTCGCCAGAGTGGTGCATGCTCTAGTTATCTCTCGCTTGGAGTACTGCAATGCGCTCTATGTGGGGCTACCTTTGAAGGTGACCTGGAAACTACAACTAATCCAAAATACAGCAGCTAGACTGGTGACTGGGAGCGGCCGCCGAGACCATATAACACCGGTCTTGAAAGTCCTACACTGGCTCCCAGTACGTTTCCGAGCACAATTCAAAGTGTTGCTGCTGACCTTGAAAGCCCTAAAACGGCCTCGTCCCTGTGTACCTGAAGGAGCATCTCCACCTCCATCATTCTGCCCGGACACTGAGGTCCAGCGCCGAGGGCCTTCTGGCGGTTCCCTTGCTGCGAGAAGCCAAGTTACAGGGAACCAGGCAGAGGGCCTTCTCGGTAGTGGCGCCCGCCCTGTGGAACACCCTCCCACCAGATGTCAAAGAGAAAAATAACTACCGAACTTTGAGAAGACATCTGAAATCAGCCCTGTTTAGGGAAGCTTTTAATGTTTAATAGGTTATTGTATTTTAGTGTTTTGTTGGAAGCCACCTAGAGTGGCTGGGGAAACCCAGCCAGATGAGCGGGGTATAAATAATAAATTATTATTGTTATTGTTATTATAAAAATGCTGGATGTGAATTTGTTAAACCTGTAGGACCAAAGAACACACGATATGAGATGAATCAGGTATCCTAGACCCTGTCCAACCCTCTTCTGCGACCTCCACTGGATTATCAACCTTAGGCACCAGAACATCTTCCATCGCTCCTGAACGCTAGTAATTAATTTAATTCTCAGGGTAGGAAACTGATCTGTTTATTGTGTACTGGGGGCAGGGAAAGAGGAATCAATCAAACAGATACTTTTAATATATATATATAAAAACCCTCTTGATAATCTGCGATTTGAAGGCACCCCACCAGTCCAAATTTCTTTGAAAACAGTGTTTCCTCTCCCCGCATCTTAGATTTCCACCCATCAGCACACAGGTGCGCCTCAGTTTCAGAAGGGGGGATATAACTGGAACCAGGAAAAGCAAGATTCATCAACCTGGCGCCTGGACTACAACTCCCATCAGCCACAGCCATGCTGGTAGGATGACCCCTACTGGTTAGAAAAGGTACAGCCCCATTGAGATATCACCTGTATTGTATCTGCAGCGCTGACTTTAGGGAGGCTTAAATTAGCCCTGAGTGCTCACTGGAAGGACAGATCCTGAAGCTGAGGCTCCAAGACTTTGGCCACCTCATGAGAAGAGAAGACTCCCTGGAAAAGACCCTGATGTTGGGAAAGATGGAGGGCACAAGGAGAAGGGGACGACAGAGGAGGAGATGGCTGGACAGTGTTCTCGAAGCTACCAGCATGAGTTTGACCAAACTGCGGGAGGCAGTGGAAGACAGGAGGGCCTGGCGTGCTCTGGTCCAGGGGGTCACAAAGAGGCGGACACAACTAAACGACTTAAGACTCCCAAATAAGTGAGAATAGGTTTGGAGCTGAAGGCTTTGGATCTCGGCGAAATTTAAAAGGCAGCTCATGAGGCAGAACCGTTTTTAACCAGTAGGGGTCGTTTGCAGCCTAGTGTGGCCCTGGATGATGGGAGTTGTAGTCCAACACGTCTGGAGGGCACCAGGTTGGCAAATAAAAGGCAATAAAGGCGTGTCTCCTTCTTGCAAAGGATGCACCAAGGATTTCTGCCCTGCGGCATCTCAAGTCCTTCCTGCCTTGGTCCTCCTCCTCATATCATGGACACCCGATTCTTGATGTAAACATGATAGGGGTCGCTCTGCTTGTCCACCTCCTTGCGGGATCTGGTGTAGCCGAGGATCAGGCTCCCGACTACGCGGCAAAGAGGATCATCACGAAGAGGATGTAGATGCAAGCGTAGTTGTCCTTCTCCTCCTCGACGGGCTTCGCATCCTGGGGGCAAGCGTGAGAGAGAGTCTGGTTCAGGGCCCGCATCATCGAGTCCAGCTTCTGAAGCCAGGTCTCCGTCCGGTTCCCCAACGCGGAGGCCATCGTCCGATCCCAGGGGGGTGCCGTCGCTGCTGCCAAAAACAGGAACAGGAACCGTTTCAGAACAAGCAGACCTCCGAAAGAACGTGGGGCGGCCTCATTCGCACTCAGAGCCGGCCCAAGATATTCAGCTGCCCCAGGAAGCACAGGAAATAGAGCGTAGGCACCCTCAGGCACACAGATGATGTTGTTGTTGTTGTTAATAATAATAATAATAATAATAATAATAATAATAATAATAATACATTGGAACCTTGGTTCTTGAACTTAATCCATTCCGGAAGTCCATTCGATTCCTGGAATGTTCGAAAACCGAGGTGCGGCTTCCAATTAGAATACGCACCCTGGAAACAATAGACGTTCAGCTTCCGAAAAACGTTCAAACACTGGAACACTTACTTTTGACTTTTCGGCATTCGGGAGCCAATTTGTTCGTCAACTAAGCCGTTCGAGAACCAAGGTTCCACTGTAATAATAATACAGCGGTACCTCGGGTTACAGACGCTTCAGGTTACAGACTCCGCTAACCCAGAAATAGTACCTCGGGTTAAGAACTTTGCTTCAGGATGAGAACAGAAATCGAGCAGCAGCAGTGGGAGGCCCCATTAGCTAAAGTGGTATCTCAGGTTAAGAACAGTTTCAGGTAAGAACGGACCTCCAGAACGAATTAAGTTCTTAACCCGAGGTAACACTGTAATAATAAATTATCATTATCATTTCGATTTGTATACTCCTCATCAGATTATCCCAAGGCGGCGTCCAACATTAAAAACACATTACAGAACACCAATGATAAAAACATAATAAAAAGCAGACAGTTGGTTCATCTACTTCAGTACTGACTACACTGGCTGGCAGCAGCTCCCCAAGATTTCAAGGAGTCTCTCCCAACCCTGAAGTGAAGGCCCAAGACAGGAGTTGATCATCATGTGAGCTGCGCTGAAGCAAGCTGCTGGCCAGTCCTGTGGAGCCTACTTTTATTGAGACAAATATGCAAGCCAGGCAAATACATTTTGGGCTGTGACCTTTACACATCTTCCGCCCCAAGATCGTGGGGTGGTACAAAGCTATTTTGGCACCTGTTCCACAGCGTCATTTCCCCCTTGCACAGTGTATGACGAATGGAGACAGGTCCAGTGACGTAGCGTGGGGGGTGAAGGGGGGCCGGCCCGCACCGGGCGCAACATCTGGGGGGGCGCGCTCGCACTCACAGCTCTCTGCCCCTACCTGGCTCGCTCAGGGTTAGGGAGCGCAAATTAGTTGCCTTGCCCCGGGTGCTGACAACCCACGCTACGCCACTGAAAAGGTCTCAGGGACAAAAGGTTACAGACAGGACACCGCTGACTGCTGAGACCGCAAAAGGTCAGACTGTGCTGGTCCCGGGGGTAAGGTACCGTGGGTGTAGCAGAGTCCACACGAAGAGGGGCGAGGTCCGATGCAGAGAGCCGGGCGGGGAACAGGAACGCTGGAACAGAAGGCTGAGCAGGGAACAGGAGTACCGGATAGTCAGGAACAGGAGGCCGAGCAGGGATCAGGAACACAGGAAGGTCCGAAGCCAACAACGACGTTGCTCCCGCAACCTGGGGCCGGGCTGACTGGGCTTTTATCCTCTTCTAAGGCCAGGGGCGGTCCCGGCCCCCAGGAGCCCCGCCTCTCCTGGCCTTAAGGCGAGCACTCCTCCTGGGGGCAACCAGTTCCCTTCGCCTCTCTGCCCTGAGCCTCTGCAGATCAGGAGAGGCCGAAGGGTTACTGGGCCCCGGGGGAGGCTCACCTGTGGCCACTGAGTCGTCAAGCCCCTCTGGGGCCAGAAGGGCTTCACCTGGGGCCAGCTCCTGATGCACTGCCACAGGTGCAGGCTCTTCAGCATCTAGGCCTTGCCCCAGTTCAGCCGGCCCTGGAGGCGGGGACTCCTGTGCCGGCTGGGATTCCTCTGTTTCATCCTCCGAATCGGAATCCCAGGCCATCACACAGACGTAGGGGACGATGCTCCAACAGCCGTGGCTTGTCTGAGGGGGGGGGGGTTCCCTGCACCCCAGGGTCACGCGTGCAGGCAGACTGTGGCTGCCTGCTGGTGGAGAGCGTGCTCCCTCCGGACCCCACTCCGCGATATCCCTACACAACCCTATGTGGCAATGCCTTTGAGGATTGAATTTGGGACCTCCTGTTTGCAAGGCAAGCACTCTACCATGGAGCTATTGCTCCACCCTCTCCAGTGGTCCATTTAGCTCAGTATTGCCTACACGGACTGGCAGTGGCTCTCCAAGGTTTCTGGCAGCCTTACCTGAAGAATCCAGGGATTGAACCTGGGGCATGCAAAGCAGCTGCCCCATCACTGAGCTGCTGCCCCACCCTCTCCATTGCGCCAGTTACCTCAATAGTGCCTGCACTGGCTGGCAGCAGCTCCCCAGGATTTCAAGCCGGAGTCTCTCCTACCATTGGGGACTGACCCTGAAACCTGCTGTGTGCATAGCAAGCACTCTGCCGCAGAGCTACACCATTTCCTGGTTTAAAAAATAGACCAGGAATGAGGAACCGGTGGAATTTTGCAGGTGAATGCAGACACATTATTACACAATGCTGGACAGTTACTCATTCACTTCACAATCCCAGCTTCAGAAGCCAGCGTGTTAGTAAACAGACCGTAGCCATCTCCTTATCTTGACCCTTAAGAGGTTCGCTGGAGAGATTATAGTGCCCAAGATACAGCAGGAGGGGGCAGGGATCTCTTCCCATCGGAGCAGCCCCAATCCCATTACTACTTGTGTGCAAGCAGGAGGGGGCATGGATGGAGGCTTCATACTGCCTTTCGGAGCAGCCTCACAGCAGCCGCTTCTTGTAGATTAAAAAAAAAAATCCCTGTTCCCTTGCCAGGAAAGGAAAATTTCTGGCTTATAAGCATTAATTCCGGCTTAGTGCTGCCTATACTAGGGTTACCAGACGTTCCCATTTCCCGGGGACAGTCCCCGGATGTGCAAATAAGTCCCCGGACAAATTCCATCCCCGGAATGTCCCCGGATTTCATCTAACGTCCCCGGGAAACGCAGCAGCGGCAGTCTCAGCAGCCCGGAGCAGTTGGCTCTGGCTGGCTTCAGGAGCTGCTCGGAAGTCCCCATGTGATGGTGGTGCAGGGGCTCTAAGATGCAGCTTCCGGGCTGCCTCCACCTTCCCTGAGCCCAGCAACTCAGCTGTGAAGGGAAGCTTCATGCTGGCTATCTGAGCAGCCTCCCAACTCCTACTTGCATGCAAGCAGGATCGGGATGGGGATCTCTCAGCTGTGAAGGGACGCTTCACGCTGCCTATCAGAGCTTGCGTGCAAGCAGGAGGGGGCAGGGCTCTCTCAGGCAGCACGATGCCTCCCTTCGCATTGGAGCAGCCCCAAGCCCATTCCTACTTGCCCCTCCTGCTTGCACGCAAGTAGGAGTTGGGAGGCTGTTCTGATAGACAGTGTGAAGCCTCCCTTCACAGCTTAGTTGCTGGGGTCAGGGAAGGTGGAGGCAGCCCGGAAGCTGTGTCTTAGAGCCCCTGCACCACCATCTCATGGGGACTTCCCAGCAGCTCCTGAAGCCAGCCAGAGCCAACTGCTCCGGGCTGCTGAGACTGCCGCTGCTGCGTTTCCCGGGGACATTAGATGAAATCCGGGGATGTACAGTGGTACCTCGGGTTACATACGCTTCAGGTTACAGACTCTGCTAACCCAGAAATATTACCTCGGGTTAAGAACTTTCCTTCAGGATGAGAACAGAAATCGTGCTCCGGCGGTGCGGCAGCAGCAGGAGGCCCCATTAGCTAAAGTGGTGCTTCAGGTTAAGTACAGTTTCATGTTAAGAACGGACCTCCGGAACGAATTAAGTACTTAACCTGAGGTACCACTGTAATTTGTCTGGGGACTTATTCGCAAATCCGGGGACTGTCCCTGGGAAACAGGGACGTCTAGTAACCCTACTCCAGACATAGAATCATAGAACTGTAGAGTTGTAAGGGACTACGTGGATCATCATTCTAGTCCAACTCCCCTGCAATGCAGGATTTTATTTTATTTTTGCTTAAGGTGGGGCTTGAACCCACAGCCCTGAGATTACGACTCTGACGTTCTACCAGCTGAGCTTGTTTTGAACTACAAGACTGATTCCTTTTCGAGGTGGAACCGGCACCCATAACAGGGCCAGTTCCTTTGATCGAAGCAATCAAGAAAGCATGTACAGTGGTACCTTGGGTTAAGAACTTAATTCGTTCCGGAGGTCTGTTCTTAACCTGAAACTGTTCTTAACCTGAAGCACCACTTTAGCTAATGGGGCCTCCTGCTGCCGCCATGCCACCGGAGCCCGATTTCTGTTCTTATCCTGAAGCAAAGTTCTTAACCCGAGGTACTATTTCTGGGTTAGCGGAGTCTGTAACCTGAAGCGTCTGTAACCTGAAGCGTATGTTACCTGAGGTACCACTGTACAACGTAAGGCGATCTCGCAAGCAAACTGGTCCCAAGTTGTTAAGGTCTTTGTAAGATAAAGTACCCTGGACGGTTAAGTCCAGTCGCAGACCACTCTGGGGTTGCAGTGCTCATCTCGCTTTCTGGCCGATAGAGCCAGCATTTGTCCACAGATAGCTTTCCGGGTCATGTTGCCAGCAGGACTAAACCGCTTCTGGAGCAACGGGACACCGTGATGGAAACCAGAGCGCACGAAAAAGCTGTTTACCTTCCCACCACAGCAGTACCTATTTATCTACTTGCACTGGTGTGCTTTCGAACTGCTAGGTTGTGAGAAACTGGGACAGAGCAACGGGAGCTCACCCCATCCCAGGGATTCGAACCGCTGACCTTCCGACTGGCAAGCCCAAGAGGCTCAGTGGTTTAGACCACAGCGCCAGCCACATCCCTAAGGGCTTTAAAGATAAAGGTAAAGGGACCCCTGACAGTTAAGTACAGTCGCAGACGACTCTGGGGTTGCACCGCTCATCTCGCTTTACAGGCAAAGGGAGCCAGCATTTGTCCGCAGACAGTTTTTTCCGGGTCATGTGGCCAGCATGACTAAGCTGC